CACAGCCCCAAATCTCCTCCCAATCCAACCGGGATGGAACTGTGACCTCCTGGTTCATAGATTGAAGCTCAACCTCTGAACCAGACCATTTGGGCAGCTCTTCATTCTTTTGTGTAGATCCAGACTTCTGTCTGTTATCATTTTCCTTCCACCTGAAGTGTTTCCTTTAACATTTCTTGTAGTTCAGGTCTGCTGGTAAGGAATTCTTTAAGTTTCTGAATGTGTGAAAATGTCATTTATTTTGACTTCACTTTTTGAGATGTCTTTGCTGGGAGTAGATTTATTCCACTGTCTTCTGGCTGATAATGCTTCTGACAAGAAGTCTGCTATCATTCCTATTTTTGCTCCTTCATACTTAATGCCTTTTTTCTTGGGGCTTTTAAAATTTTATTAACAGGTTTTAAATAATTTGATTATATTGTTTCTTGGTGTACTTTCAAAAAATTTTTGTTTCTTTTTTTTTAATTTTTTTGTTTCTTGTGCTTAGGATTTACTGAGTTTTTTGGATCTGTGTATTTAGAGTTTTCATGAAATTTTAAAACAATTTCAGCTATTATTCAAATTATTTTCAAGTATTTTGTTTAACTTGTGCTTTCCTCTATATTCTTGAACACATGGAAGGGATATCTTATAATAACTTGTTTAATGGCATTGCTTATTTTATCATTTGTATCATTTCTGAGTCTTTCTGTGAGTTGATTTTTCTCCTCATTATGGGTAATATTTTCCTGCTTTGCTGCCTTACAATTTCTTTTTATTAATCCTCATCTGAGGATATATTTATTGATTTTAGAGAGAGAGGAAGGGGGGGAGAGAGAGAGAGAGAAAGAAAAACATGGATTGGCTGCCTCCTGCATGTCCCCGGATCAGGGATTGAGCCTGCAACCAGGGCATGTGCCCAGACTGGGACCAGGAATCTAACCGTCACCTCCTGGTCCATAGTTTGAGCCCACCTGGCAAATTTTTATTGGAAGCTGAGTGATGAATTTTACTTTATTGGTATCGGTTATCTTTTTATTCCTTCAAACATTCTTGAGCTTTGTCCTAGGACATAGTTACTTGGAAACAATTTGATCTTTTTGAGGTTTGTTCTTTCCTAAGTAACACCAGACCAGCCTTTAGTTTAGGCTTCATTTCCTCTTCTTTCATATTCTACCCAGTGCTTCATATGTTAAGAGGTTTTGCCAGTCTAGGTCGCAGAAACATGAAGTATTCCTGGCTTGTGTGAGTGCTCCTTCCTTGGCCTCCAGTAGTTTCCTCACACCCATGCTCTGATAGGTACTCACCTTTAGGTGTTTTCCTGGGCAACTTTCTCCTTCCCATGTGAATTCTAGATGGCTTTGTCTCCCTGAATTTTCAACTCTCTTCTCAACCCAGGGAGACTGTGGGTTCTGCTTTGATTCCCTTTGATTTCCTGTATTGCATCTTACAAGTTCTCCAGGCAGGAAACAGTAAGTTGGGGCAATCATAGGCTCACCTTATTTTTTTCCTTTTTTTCAATCACTATTCTAAACTGTTAACAGTTTATTATTTATGTTTTATAGTAGTTTGGAGATACAGGTTTTTTTTTTTAGATCAGTTCAGGATTTTATCTTAACTAAAGTTAAGCATAGAAATTTGGCACATAGTGAAAATTCAGTAAATATTTGAATGAAATAAATGAGAGGACTTGGTTAAGGAGTTTATTATAGTATTTATAGGAATTGGTTAGGCATTGCTGTTTCTTATTGAAGGCATTGGGATGTCATGTAACTGACTAATTTTTGTCGTATATAGGTATTATCTGTTGAAATTTACTGACAGGCACTAAGTAATCTATGGGCAAATAAATAGCTCTTTTACTAGGTATAGGAAAATTTCTTATTAAGTCCTAAAATTACATTGAAAAATCATAAGCAAAAGTAGAATAGCTGCCTTACAAATTTGTGGGAACTATCTTTGGAAACAGTGGTATATATTATGTAGATATGCGATTAAAGTTTTTTCTCACTTTTTACAAAATAAAATTAAATCTAAAAATATTAAATATAGAAAAGTGTTTTTTTGTTGTTGATTCATTTATATTCACTTTGAGTATGTTTGGAGCAAAAGTTCATTTAAATGGAAGTGCTCTTAATAGTGTTTTGTATTTTAGATAGCCATTTATTTGTAAATTTCTAAAACGGTAATTTTTCAAAAGGAGGGAAAATTTTTCACTAAAGTAGTTTTTAAAAAAAATATATTTTTATTTCAGAGGAGAGGGAGAGAGAGAGAAACATCAGTGATAAGAGAGAATCATTGATTGGCTGCCTCCTGCACGCCCCCTACTGGGGATGGAGCCTGCAACCCAGGCATGTGCCCTTGACGGGAATGGAACCAGAGACCCTTCTGTCTGCAGGCCGATGCTCTATCCACTGAGCCAAACCAGCTAGGACTCTAAAGTAGTTTTTGCTGCTCTGGATGTCAGATGAATCTATGTGAAAGGCCCCAGATTTGGGGGTTCTTAGGAGTAGAAAGTCTAAATCATTGTTTCCTAAACATCATTTGAATATCACAATCATCTTTTCCATATTATTCTTTTTCCCTGTTTTTTTAATTGTTATTTTTTACTTACTATTTTTTTCTTTATTCACTTTAAAAAATCATAGATACATTAAAAAAAACATAAATGGAAAAGTATTCTCATTGTATAGTGGTAATAAATTTTAGCTGCATTTTGTTGCCAGTGGAAGGCTCTGAGCCTAAAGCCTACTCTCTCTGTGAACAGAGTTAAGCAAGTGTTACAGAAGTGTAAAAGACATATTAGCACCAAACTGAAACTTTGTCCTTGATATTATCTGTGATGAAAGAGTTGAAATAGGACTAGCTTTCTCACTGTGATTCAGTGCTACTTAGTTTCATGTCCAGATTTTTTGAAGCACACTGTACGAAGGTAGCCTCATGAAAAAAGGGGGATTTGTATTTACTTCTAAAAAGGCAGAGGAGAGTGACAAAGAGGTAGGATCTGGAGATATGACATTAAAAGAAAGAGATATTATGGTGCTCTCAGAAGAAACTGGAATGAAATTTAGAGATGGGTCTGATTTATTTTGGCAAAGAGATTTGCAGTTCAATACCAGTTTTTAGTCAATGACTTGCCTTTTCTATTAGCGTCATGTTTCCATTATTTTTTGTTTAGTACTCACAATAATCTGAGTATTTGTAATATTATGCATATTTTTTGGATTCACTAGAGGATAGTAGAAAATGAGAAGATTAATGCAGAAAAGTCATCAAAACAGAAAGTGGATCTACAGTCTTTGCCAACTCGTGCCTACCTGGATCAGACAGTTGTGCCTATCTTATTACAGGGGCTTGCTGTGCTTGCAAAGGAAAGGTAAGATAATAGTGTCAGCAGAAGGAGTTATCAGAGAATGACTTTTCTAATTGAAGTATCACTAGTTATGTATAATTTTTTTCCTATAAAAAGAACTTATGCATATTAAAAACATTTTAAAAGTCAGCCATAATCTCAGTTCAGACACTAAGTTTTTTCTACAAGTCTTTGATCATATGCATATTTATAAAGACTTGTAATTATGGTATACATGCAGTTTTATATCTCCTTTTTACTTAATATTATAACAAAATTTTTTCCATATCTATGCATAGACTTTATGAACTTATAATTTAAGTTGTTATAGTATCACAATTAACCATTTTCTCATTGTTGAAAATGTAAGTTCAATTTCCTTTGTTATTATAGATCACTAGGCAGTTTATCTGTTTTCATGCCTCTTTTTTTTTTT